AAAATCATAGCAAACCGTAATAATCCCTTGGACCAAATGAAAGGAACGAAAATAAATACTCAGGATTAGGGGGAGAAACATTAGAAGCCTTTATTGATAATATTGATTTGGTCTGCCTCTCCATGAAGAGGTTCAGAGCCTTACAATGGTGTTCCTCTTGCCCATAATTTTGGGTATCGTTGTCAATTGTCTCTCTCTGTATAGTGGTCAAAAAGAAGCCCCCTTTCTAGGGTTCCCTCTCTTGGTATTTATAGCCGTGGGCTTCGTGAGCTGGCAATAAGTGGCCGTGACCACGTTGGGATTTCGCCTTTATGGTGGCGGATAGGCCATGGCCTTGCTGATCGAACCAGATGCGGGTTGAATATCGTTAATTCTGAGTAGTCGTGCCACTAATTAATCATGAATTAGCTTAAGACGGGATTAGCCTCGTTAATTATCGTGGGGTCGGATTCTGACCCATACAGCCTGTATTATAACTTTATATACGCGTGATATCTATGAAATGCCAAGAAGAGGATATAGAAGAAAAGAAAAGTAATGAAAAGGATATACAGAAAAAATTGTAACGGTTTTACTTTTAGCTATTACAACAACAACAATAATATACTCACTATAATCTCATAAGTGAGGTTTGAGAAGGATGGCGTGTATGCGGATTTTGTCCCTGCCCTGTGGAGGTAGAGAGGCTATCCCCCTCCTGTCGCAATGGTGTGGGGCGTCAGAGGCTGTTACCCCGTGGCCAACTCGAAGGGGTTGAAGTTCGACGCAGAGCTTTTTGGTTGCTCAGTCCTGCTATAACTTAACAACCAAAAAGCTCTGCGTCGAACTTCAGCCCCTTCGAGTTGGCCATGGGGTAACAGCCTCTGACGCCCCACACCATTGCGACAGGCTTTTCGCTCCTTTCCTTACAGTCAAGTGGTTTCACTCCTCCAGTTCTATTATTGCGAAAAGATAGTGCAAGCTTTGTTATGTCAAAACCTAAATGTTAAGTCAGCAACACTTCCAAATGCCACTTCTTCCCGTCGCATCCGTAAGAGAGAGAAAGTTTGATTGATAAGGGCATTCTGTGAATGGAGGAATTGGCACACCAAAGACCCTCAACTCAAGGACGATAAAAAGAAGCAGTAGCAACAAGCATTAACAATAACGATATAATAAAATAACTGAAGCGAAGGAAATAATAGGTAGAATTATAACTCTACGAGCAAGAAAATAGAAGACTACTTTGAGCTATTATACTAGCTATTTCATCCATTTCAATTGTGTTTGTGGGGCATGAAATTTAAAAAAAAAAATATTTTTGAACCTTAACTAAATTTTGTGGTTATAAAAAAATATCATAAAAACTTAATAATTAAGTTTAAAGTTAAATTATTATTAAACATAAAAATATGTATTTTTTAAAATAAACTAAGAATATGTAGTGACTTATAAAATGAGATGAAAGAAGTAGTTATCGATAAAGATTATAGTGGATTAATAAGTACTTCTTTACTTTAAATCAAAAGTTATAAATTCGAATCTGAATATGAAAAATTATCTTTGTTGAAGAGAGATTTACACAAGAGTAGTTAGTAATGGTACCTTTTAGGACAGCAAGAATTGTAAGAGCTTCCTTTACGAGATTTGGCCGAAATGACGGTTAATGTTGTTTATGACGCTATTAAACAATTATAGATGACGTTGTACCCTACGCACATGAGGTTGTGCGCACTATTTTTAAAAAATATCCTATTGTTGCAGTTGGGAAAGTTAAAGCGCACAGTTCCACAAATCTATTCAAACATAGGTGCACACGCCTATTTAAACGTGATTTCTCCTTCTTTCAGCCGCATCTTCCATTTTCTTTATTCCGGCGATTAGCTCCGGTGTACGGACACCGGTAAATTACTCGTAAATGCCAAGTTTCTCCGGTTGCTGAATACTGATAGCACTAGCTAATAGCTCAGCTAGATTTCCGGCAGTGGCCTAGACGCCGGAGTAATGAAGACGATGAGTCATTTCTCATCTAACTTCCTGTTCGGTTTCCTCGTGTCGACGGCAATATGTATAACAGCAATGTCATCGTTGTTAGCAGCTGTAGATGCTGCTAATATTACTATTAATAGTAATATTGTAACTTACGATCGACGCTCATTGATCATTAATGGCCAGAGGAAGTTGCTCATCTCTGCTTCCATTCACTACCCTCGCAGTGTACCTGCTGTGAGTCCCACAATAACCATACTATTCTACCACCGTACTATTAGTGCAGAACTTTATGCTCTTTTGCTATTGCACTAGTTCTACTAAGAGTTTAAGTTACAATGTAAAAAATCAAGTCGTAGACATAGAGTAATTGCAGGTAGCTTTATTTAATAGTACCATTTATTGGTAATTAACATTACACAGTCAGTGTATACAACTTAAATTCTTAATTATTCGTCTGGTTAATGCAAAGTAGTTATTCCCACGGTTCTGATTTTCTATGTTCCATTGCAAATTTAACAGATGTGGCCTGGTCTGGTTCAATTGGCAAAGGAAGGAGGGGTGGATGTTATAGAAACATATGTTTTTTGGAATGGTCATGAACTTTCTCCAGACAATGTAACACAAATTCAGCTAAAATTTGATGGTTTCTTAGTGAATTATTAAAATCTGAAGTTGTTTTGATAAAAATAGTACTGATATTTATTATTTCTTGCGAGAAAATTTTAGTATTACTTTGGAGGAAGGTATGATCTAGTCAAATTTTGCAAGATCGTTCAGCAGGCTGGAATGCATATGATTCTTAGGATTGGACCATTTGTTGCAGCAGAATGGAACTATGGGTATGTTCTTCATGTTTTGACACATTTATATGTAGCACTATATTTTTTTTTTTTTTTTGTACCAAGCACCTCCTGTGCAGAGCTTCATGGGAGAATGTAAATAGTGGACTTTCTTGACAATGTATATCATATTTTTGTGAAATTTTCGAAGCCTTGTTTGCATAGTTTCAATTACATCTTCGTGAAGTATTAAAGTGCTTGGAAGAATACTAACAGATCATTAAATCATGCAGTGGACTTCCTGTGTGGCTGCATTATGTTCCTGGTACCACCTTTCGAACCGATAGCGAACCTTTCAAGGTTAGCCTATAACAAAACCATCTCATGAATGTCGACTCTAGCTATTAAACCAATTTTGAATTATTTTGGTAAAAGGATTCCTTTTGACCAATCTGCTGCTTGGTATTTCAGCATTACATGCAGAAATTCATGACATATATTGTGAACTTAATGAAGCAAGAGAGGCTTTTTGCATCTCAAGGAGGTCCTATCATCTTGGCACAGGCAAGTTAGAAGTCTGAAAGTCATCTTGGGCAAAAAACCCTTCTCATTAACCTTCAGTTTTGCTTCTAGCTACATCCTAATTTAATTTGATCCTTGGATTTGAATATGTAGCTTTATTCTTCTAGAATCATCAAAATAATTTGTTGGTTCATCTTCTAATCTGCTTCGCTTCCAAAACGGTTTTACCCAATTTTTTTATGACATTCCTTGAGAGAATTATTTGGAAGCATAAGAAAGATATGCGAACTGCAGATCCACTTACCCATTAAGCCTTATACTTATCTTGTACTAACTTACTAGTAGAACCTTCAGAAAAGGTATGCAATTGCAGGACTAATCTTTTGCAACTAGCTTTGGGCTTTTTGATGAGATTATGCTTGTCGACCTTCCTTTTGTCACTGCATCTCGTTGCCCAGCTCAGAATCTTTTGTTGCAGGTAGAAAATGAGTATGGCAACTACGAAACAGCTTATGGAGAGGGAGGGAAAAGGTATGCCTTATGGGCTGCTAGAATGGCTCTTTCTCAAGATACTGGTGTACCTTGGATAATGTGCCAGCAGTATGATGCTCCTGATCCTGTGGTGAGCACTTGTTTCCATGCTCTGGAATGGTCCTTTTTACTCTTCTCAGCTAAGATGTCAGGTTTACCGAATAAGTTTGATGCTCCAAGCCCATATGCATCTGTGTAACAGAGTCCAGAGAAGCTTTTATCCAGCTAATTGTAGATTTAACGTGTCTAGATGAATGCTTTATAATTGACAGGGTGAATAGTTTTTCTTGTCAAATTCACTTTGGTTGGTGCACTCTAGTAATCTTCTGTGAAATTACAGTTTCTTTGATTCTGGTCTTATCCATCCACACACTCCAAGAAAACAAAGCTGTTGTGGGAGGGCTCGGAGGCAGGGAAAGTAAATGTATCAAATAAGATAACTTTATGGCTTTAAGTTTTTCTATCAATTAAACACTTGCTCTCCTACCTTTGGGTAAGCCTGAATTGTTATTGTTTAAGCAGCTTAGCCATAAGTAAATTTGATTTCCTAGCATGTTGCTTGGGAATTTCGGTTCAAATCAGCTTGTAAATACTTATTTATCCTTTGCAGATTGACACATGCAATTCATTTTACTGTGACCAATTTAAACCAATCTCTCCAAACAAGCCCAAAATTTGGACAGAAAACTGGCCAGGATGGTATGAGTTCGCGTTCTCTATTTCTCTGTTTTGTGTATAAAAGCTAACTTCCATACTCGTGCATTTATTTCATTTCTTTAGTAGAATGTATATTTACATTTGACAGTATTGTGGGATGAAATCTTTCCTCAACTTTTCTTTGTTGAGATTACCGTCTCTTTCATTCCATTCAAAAGATGTGCATTTCAAATTTTTAATTTATGAGTAGAAAAAGGCATGTTGTAGTGAATTCTGGCCTATTAGAGAGGCAGTGATGAAGTTTAGTCGATTCTGAAGGCGTAATATCAAATTGAACATAAAATTTTCAGGTTCAAAACATTTGGGGCCAGAGATCCTCACAGGCCTCCAGAAGATGTTGCTTATTCTGTTGCTCGCTTTTTCCAAAAAGGAGGAAGTGTGATGAATTATTACATGGTATTCTTACTATTTTGTAACCCGATATTAGCTTTTAAGTAAATTGGTTCTTCTTTAGTTTGATATAGCTTCTACAATTGGCTACAACATTTTGTTGAGGGATTTCCCATATCATGCATTTTCACATTAAGTTATTTTCTTCATAGTACCATGGTGGGACAAACTTTGGCCGGACGGCAGGTGGCCCTTTCATTACCACAAGCTACGACTATGATGCACCAATTGACGAATATGGTCAGCTTATCTCTCTCTGTTGCTAAAGGAATAAATTTGTCTATATTAAATAAATAGCTTTGTAAACACAAGTTCTAACGTGTTTACGTAAACATAGTACCAATCTTGTGTAATATGGCTTCCAGGTCTAGCACGATTTCCAAAATGGGGTCACCTTAAAGAACTTCATAAAGTCATAAAGTTGTGTGAGCATGCTCTGCTGAACAATGATCCGACTCTTCTTTCACTAGGTCCTCTACAAGAGGTAACTTCTCTTCCATTTCTGATGGTACTCCACAAGCTTCAGAGTATTGAGTAGTTCCGAGTTTTATTTTCATTTGCGCCTTCATTTAATTCTATTTCTGTTCTGCATATGTTTTTCTATAAGAAGAACCTGAAGTTAATGCACACTGCCTTCTACAAGCTACAAGAATTGGTGGAATTGTTACTTCATAAAGTCTTCATACATGCTTCACGCCCTAAATTTTGGGCTGATAGCTTCTAATAATACTGCTGAACTATGTTCATCAGATTCTAAGTGATAGAAACCACTTAAAAGTTCTGGCTCCAAAATGCTTCAGGGACATGATACATGCTCTTTTTTTAATGAAGTATTCCAAAATAAAATATGATACACCTATTGTTCTGGATTTGAATAGGCGGCCAAACCATCTGAACCTAAACTAGCATTTCATTCCCATATTGACTTGGAATGCCTTTTCCTCCCACTTAGCTGACTAGACTATGTCCTCTTCTTCTTTATCCTCTTCCACAAGCTTGTGTTTGAACTAAGGACCACAATACTAGTGGCAGCGGGTTCTAATTGTTTTTTCTATGATAAGACTAGCTATTTTGCACTCTATCTGAATCTGTTCTTTTGTTCGTTGGTTCTTCAGGCTGATGTTTATGAAGATGCTTCAGGAGCTTGTACTGCCTTTCTCTCCAATATGGATGATAAAGATGACAAGGTGGTACAGTTCCGTAATATATCATACCAACTGCCAGCATGGTCTGTTAGCATCTTGCCAGACTGCAAAAATGTAGTATTCAACACAGCAAAGGTATAGTGTCTGTTTTAACAAATATCAGCTAAAAATGGTAATGATTGTAATTATTTGTCTCTGAAATATTGAAAAAGTCATTATTTTAGCTTCGTAGTTAATGTAACAAAGCTTCATTTGTCAATACACCTTTAACAAGCTATTGGCATGGAACTAAAGAATAGATAAATGACCTTGGAGGCAGTGGCGGACTTACGTTTTCAAGTATGGGTGCTGAAGCACCCATTGACTTTGGCCAAATTGTGTTATCTATTCATAGATAATACTTAAAATTTTGAATAATTGACCATGAGCACCCACTACGATCATGTTTGACCACTGTAAATTTCCACTAAAATTAGTGAAGCACCCACAACCTATAAATCCTGAATCCGCCACTGCTTGGAGGAGAGGTTACTGACACAGATAATTCTCATTCATAGTGGTTCTAAGGACTCTTCTACAGTCGCTGCAAAAGAAAAACTTGCTGGTGAATTACTTCTAGAAGAAGAGACCTTTGCTATCAAGGTTATATTGTTCATGAAAGGGAACACATTCCACATTTAAATAATTGTGCTGGGTCAAAATAAAACAAATGAATATAGAGGGTTTTCTAATAAGATGTTACAACCCAGTAAATCCAGATGAAAATTCAAAGTTATTATATATTAGTTTTAAGATAAATCACATTTCATAATGTATTTACTTGTTCATAATACAATCATACCTTGTGCAATTCCTCCTGTTTGCAGGTTGGATGTCAAACCTCTATAGTCAATATGGAACCCATAGATTTGCATCCCACTGTAAGATCACCAAAGAGAGACATCAAAGCTCTTCAGTGGGAAGTCTTCAAGGAAACAGCTGGAGTATGGGGAGTTGCTGATTTCACTAAAAACGGCTTTGTAGATCACATTAACACCACAAAAGATACTACGGACTACCTCTGGTACACAACAAGGTTGGTCTCACTCTGAGGTTGATAACATTTTACCTAAACACATGCATTTAACCAATATGAAAATACTTCGTCTACATGGATGTACTACCACTATATGAGTGGATTGATGTTTTAGACGTCAATACCACACAAGGGGGGGGTACCTGGTTCTTCTAGGTGTTCTAACTTCTACTGTTTGCGGAATTAAAATACAGAAATAAAGAACACAGAGATTTTTACGTGGAAAACACCTGGCTCAAAAGGTGAAAAACCACGACCTACTACTCAGTAGGATTTTCCCAAACTTCCACTAAACTTCAATGAGCCAAAAACAGCATTTACAAAACTCTTTGTAAACCTAAGGATTAACTCTAATCCCAGTGTAGCACACAGCCTCAACTGTTGCGACACTTTCAAGTTAACTCTAACTTGAATACTCAATGCACCTAATACAACTGCTTCTAAGAAAGCTGGAAAGGTACAATGTTAAAACACCTACTACAATTGAACTAGAAATAAAGAAAGACACAATAGAATTGGTTCTTCACACTTAGTTCTTGTAGCTTCAGATTTGCACACTTGTATCACACACAAATTGCTTGCAACAATCGCCTAGCTCTTTTGCTCTCAATTTGGTTTAACTTCAGCTTATGTGCAATCACCTGTAAAAGAGAACAATCGTTATATTTATAGAGTTAGTAATCAGAGTTTGATAAGAACCCGAATTGTGGATCCTTTGACAATTCGAGTCCAAGAACTACTCTAACTCCTAATCCATATTATTGATCCGGATGTAATTCTCTTTTCATAAGGAGACTTCAACTCCTTATCCTATATGCAATCTTTTCAATCAGTTCAGAAGATATTCATCAAGATATTGCTGCTTGATCTCAAGGACTTATCTTCTTCACGTGCATCTCATGTGTATGGGCCATAACAACTGTGTCTCCTTAGATGAACCTGGTCCTTTACTGAGTTAGTTTGTCATTCTTCAAAACTTCAACTGATCTTGGGCCAACAAATTCCCCCTTTTTGATAATGACAAACTCTGTGCTTTTACTGATTATAGAACCTGTGGAACTCAGCTAAAATATCATCACTTACTTATCATTAAGGGCCAGATTTAATTAGGTCATAAACATCACTGTTCAGAAAATAGACACAATTTCTTTTAAAGCACAATATCTTTCCCTTTTGGCATCATCAAAAAGTTGCATAAATATGTGAATCCCAGAATATTAATCATTACTCATTGCCACTGGGGAAACTGTAAGTGAAAGCATGCTTTAGATAATCAAAAATCAACTTGACAAAAAAATAATTAAGAGCAGAATCATCACAAAACAAGAGAAATGCAAATTGTCATTGATAAGGCATTGCTTCTACAGTACAGTCCACAAAAAGAAAGAACAAAAACTACCAACCATGAGCAAAAACAAGAAAAATCCCTAATCTGGGTCACTGGGGGTAACTGAAATGGTTCGGAACTAGGACAAGATGGCTAAGGCTTAGAAGAATTGGAGGTTTGGGAGGAGTAGGTTGAGCATTGTTTGTAGCATCCCTTCACTCTTTTCCTTTTCTTTTGCAAGTTCTGCCTTCAGCCCATTCCTTTCTTCTTCCAATTCAGCTACTCGAGCCTGAAGCCTAGCAATCTCAGCATCTTTGGTCCCACATTCTTGCATCAAAGCTCTAACTTTGCTATTCACTGGAGTTTTTACGGATGAACCAGGTTCAACAGGGGCAACACTTAGCAGATAATCACAGGCCTGGAGAGTCTTGATTCCAAAGTGCTCCTTACTGGAGGCATTTTCCCACTTCTTCAAAGGGACGTTCAGCCTGTCTAGTACAGTTGTCAAAATGAATCCATAAGGAGTAGCATGAGCCTTTGAACCATTTATGACTCTGTCCAGCAATTTGACTATGAAAGCAGGCCAATTGATTTGTTTACCCCTCACAAGACACTCCATGAGAACCAGGTCCATATAGTTTGCAGTGTGCCTCCTCTCTTGTCTAGGCAACAGACATTTGTTCACAAACTCAAAGAGCACTTTATGCTCTGGCTTCATTTCACTCTTTTGAACAAATCGTGCTTCAGGCACCTCTTCAGCATCCTTTGTGTCACAGAAGTTCCTGGTAATTTGGAGTGCTGTGGGCAGATCATCTAGACAAGGCCACCTTTGCCTAGTGTAATCATCATAGCCCTCACTTGGGATGTCTAGAATCCTGCCCAGCTCTGGTGCATCAAACTCCACCTTCACACCTTTCACTATACTGGTTACTCGCCCATTTTCCACAGAGCCATTCGCCATAAATTCAATCAACTCTCTTCTGGCTAGTCTCCCATCCATCTGAAGGACCATGTCCTTCCAGCCCTGTGCAGCTAAAGCATCTACAAGCCTAACCATGCCTGGCTCCTCCAGGTCTTTCAGCAGCCTTCCCTTCAATATCTTCCTCCTGCTAAAAATAACAAAGCGATCTTGCTCTTGTTCAGAGTCCTCTTTTTCTTCTTCTCCACTCCACTCCTCATCTTCTTCCTCAGTAATTTTCACTTGTTTTCCCTTTACAGCAGACCTTGTTCTTTCAGCCAAAGAAGGTTCAGCAGGCACAGACTTTGAAGACTTCTTTGCAGGAGTCTTGGTTCTTTTTGGTTTGACAGTGGGAACCACTTCTTCAGTTGTGCCTCTCTCTTGATGGACCAGGTCCATCTCCTCCTCCTGTTCTACAGCAGCCTCAGAACTTTCTACTACCTTTTCCTTTCCTTTTTCCTTCTTCTTTTTCTTACTCTTCTCTAATGCTTCCTGTAGTTCTGCTTTCACTTTTGCCTTACTTTACTCCTTGTTACGTTCTTCCCCCTAGGTACCAGTAAGTAGTCCAGTCAGTCTTGGG